GACCCTTGCCGCGCTTGCAACTGTTTTGCAAGAGCAATAGCTCTCGCTTCCTATGGAACTGATAGACCGCATAATTGAAAGCATCAGACATCGCTGAATGTGCTGTATTGCTTCTAGAGGTGATTATATTTCATATTGAAGGTACTTTTACTATAGCAAACTGACATCTTCGATTTGTTCATTTTATACATGTGCTAATTTCTATACTACCATAATTGTCTGGTAATTTCTTTTTATGTTATTTGATACTTTACTATGTGTTGTATATTGTGGGTAAGTTTCATAAAATTCTAATTTATGATAACCAGTGTATAAGGCTTGGTCTTTCTCTCCGGACTATGAATTTCCTAAGACTTTATACAACGCTTCTACGGATAGAGCAGTAACAATCTTAATGTGCATTACGTAATAAAAGGCACATGTAAAAACCACTATCTATGCCAGGGGATGGCCAAACTTCAAGACTACGGGAGCCACATTCGAGAAGCGCAAGTCCAAATTTATATCGTTTCAAAAATAATGAAACAGAATTTGAATATAAAGAAAATTACGTAAATTATGAAGTAAATTAATGAATATGTGATTAACACGACTGCATATAAATATCAATAAACACATCTTATATCTACTGTTTTGTGTTTAGAAAAGTCCCCAGAATCTGCCAATAAATAAATTCAAATTTTGGAAAATTTATATTAATAAATATATTTAAAATACTCAGTTCGAATGAATAAATAAAAAAATTTAAAGCATTTATCTGAAGAGACAATGCAACACAAACAATTAAAATAAAAATCAAAAAATTACCTAAAATAATAACTATGACTAAAAACTATAGTATAAAAGAAAACTATCTGGAAAAAAAAATAAACGATGCACTTTTTATTTAAACTACGCAGTTCGAATGAGTATATAAAAAGTTTTAAAACTTATTTGAAAGAAACCATGGAATCTGTGAAGCAATTGCATAAAACTGTCTGACTTGCTTAGGGATAGGAAATAAATTTTGAAGGAGTTCCACAGAAAATTGAGACAAGTCTAACCAAGTAAGATAAGAGGCTGAAGGTTCAGTCCACCAGAAAAAAAAAAAAAAAAAAAAAAAAAAATCTCTTAAAATTCTTTCAGAGATTAGAAAAGCTCTATACTGGATTGCAAAACGAAAATGGTTTTCTCGACAGTTACTCACGCTGTTCAAGGACTGAATAAAAGTAGTACCTTACAACAAATAAGGTACAACAAATAGCAAATTTTCCAGGTGAATCACAACTGTTACGAACAATGGGATCAGACAGGAATGTAATCAGATACTGCCTAAAATAAAATTAACTTGAGAGAAAAAATATTAGGGTGAATAATTAAATAAAATATTAGCATTGTGTTTTAGCATCGCATTAGTGTATTCCGATGTCCATTAATTAAACTATATTTATTCAAAACAAGTCGCATTTCAGATTGCAAAGGATCGAAAGTAGCTCTCGAGTCACCCAATTTGACTGACTTTACAACATATGATATTTTGGTTATGGGAATGGTAAAAAAAAAATATGTTGCTGCAGTGAAATGTTAGAAATCTGCATGAAAAAATTAAAACTGTCAACTAAGGCATGTACACCCATGCTCTGTATGGGACAAGTTAAAAAAATGCATGGACAATGATGACAAACATGTGCACAACATATAAAAAAATTATCATATCCAATAATCTTTAATCAAAGAAGTGAATGTTAACGGTTACATGTGTATCTTTTATTCCTCATACAACATTAACAATTTTTTGAATCAATCATTACTTTTCAGAATGGTTGTTTTAATCCCTTCTAGTTAACATACATCACACTGATACAAGGTTTTCGCTACATTTATATAACTATATGACAAAATAACCGACAACGATTTCCGAAATTTTTTTTGCAATATATAGTAAAATATATTACCATCAACAAAAAGTAAAGTATCATGTGTTATAGTAGAAAATAAACTTCATAAAATATATTGTAAAATATATTTATTTTCAACGTATAGAAACATAAAAAACATCAGCTGAAATACAAGCGAAGCTTACATTACATCTACAGTTGATAGATTAATTACTTCATTACCAAAAAGAAGAAATAGATCAAAATAAATGTATGCTGACTCAGAATTGTCAATAATAAAAATTAAAAATATGCACCAAGTAAAAACAAAGCAGGAAGTATTTAAAATTGAATTCCATTATATACATATAAAATTATCTTTTCCTTCACACTCACTGCCAGAAATAAATTTTTTATTTGTGCAAAATTCTTTGGCAGTCCAATCTCTTTGGCAGATTAAATTCTCTCTCAGTAATTTAATCACCAAATTAATCCTTCATGAAAGAATACAATATTAATTTTTAAATAAATTAGATCAAATTTAAAATGATTGACATATGGAAATATATGAAAAAATATGTATATTATACATCTTACACTAACAGTGCTAAAATAACTTTATTATGTTAATAAACAATAGATAAATCACAAGACATACATAAATAAGTATTTACTTGGTAAATAATTAACGAAATTGACATGATACAATTCATGTAATATAAATTTATAATTTAAATATTTAGCTTACTGAAACCAATGAACTGATTTCTTTTATACTATTCTGGCATTATTAACATATTTAAGCTCTATTTTAGAATTTTTTAAGAACAGCACCTTCTACATGCCTTATTATTGCAGTTATTTACGATATCGGCACTAGATTGAAAATGTGAACTTTTTATTAACTTTAATTCCTTAAGATAAGAATGACTTATAGTAAAAGTAGTGTCAATAAATTGCCATACCCTAATGTATAAATGAAATATGGCAGCAAATTTTCATTTTTTCAGCTATACAGAACATTTCCTCAAAAATAAAATGTTTCAGAATGTCAGTATTATTCATTTCAAATGATATTTTTATTACAGACAGTCTGGCTTTATGAGAAAAGAATGGAAAATTTGCCAAAGAGATGAAAATATCACAGTTAATGGTGGAAATTATATAATTGTTTAGATACCTACAAATAACCCTAATATTAATTCTTTATTTATATACTACTTAAAGCCAATGAAGTAACTTATGTAACTCATTTTAATTATCCATTATAATAAACTTCAGTTTGGTTTGCAATTTCACATAATTATAAAAAAACATTCAATAAATGAACAATGATGGTAACTCTTTGTGAATATTTAGTAATCCAAACAATTACAAAAATTTTTGTTGTTGTTGTTGTTGGGAGACTGCATGCATTTTCGCAGCATAGTACTTATTACTTTGGAATGATTAAGAAAAACTCTTACTTTTGTTTAGAATGCATTTAAGCTTAAAACATTTTACTTAATAAAAAGAAACAGTTTCATCAACACATCAGATTAAATATGTTCCAGAAAGCTAGCACATTTCATAAAAAGAAAACAGAAAACACATCATATGAAATCAAAGAGCCGGCAAACAGCAGAGATATCTATAAAGTGCACTGGTCATGCATAAGAACATGCGATATTTTCTAATAAAACCATAACAATAAATACTTTCTTAGATCTCAAATGTTTTTATTTCATCTTGATTTAATAAATTGGTATTCAGTTTTTTTTTTTTTTTTTTTTTTTTTTCACACATTCACCTCACAAGTATGTCAGCTATTAGATTCACAGCATTTCAGCCCATTACCAAAGAAAACAAGATTGCATCCTTGGAAAAGGTGAAAAATCCTTCCTTAAGGTTTTAGCTTTATTATAAAAAGCCAGTATAGAGTCAAGTTATTAAGAATAAAGACGAGTTTGCACCAAAATTTTTTCTATATTATTAAATAATGGAGAATCACTCTCTATATATTCCTTGCTCTGTGGAAAAATGGAGTTACCTAGATCCAGCAAATTTTGAACCACATGTAGTCTTCCACCTGAATATGTGCACCTTCAAGCCTTACTTTTGAATTCAATTTTTTTTAAAAAATTATACATTTTGTGCAAATTTAATGAATTTTTGATTTAAAAACTTACTGATTTAAAAATAATATGCTGTTATATGCCAAAGTGTACAATATTTATGTTTCATATTTAATCAGAAAACTCAATGAGAAAATGTGTTGCCTTTTGGTACAGGGTAACATATTTGCTTTTCATATTTAATCAATAAACTCAGCAATTTAAAAGAAATGTGGTGCCACTGCCACTTGGCAAAACATAATAATATACTTGTCTTTCATATTTAATCTATAAACTCTGCGAGTTAAAAAGAAATCTGTTGTCACTGCCTGAAATAAAGTATTTTAATCTTTCAGGCGGCAGTACATTTGCCTTTGGGAAGATATAAAGTGCTTGATTTTTCGTTTAAGTTTATTCTGTTATAATATGCCAAGCGATTTAAAGGCAATAAATGCAATTCTTCATTTTTCTTATTATTAATTACTAGCTGAACCCATGAAATTACATTAGTTAGATTCTTTAAAATTGTTTTATATTTTTTCTTTTTTGTAATACTATTTTAGGCTGCTGACTATGCAGCTGGTAGACATTTTTATATATTCTTATAATACTTACATCTTAACGTATCATCATACAGATTTACAACCAAATAGAAGCAGATATAAAATTATAATACATCATGAATAATTATTATTTTAATGCACCAGTTACACAAATGAACTAAAAACTGAACACTATCGAAGTTTATTTAAAAATATCATAGTTGCCAAACTTGAAATGTACAGAACCTGAGGGATTTTGTGCTATATTGCAAGGTAGTATTGAAGGAATACCACAGACAAATTTGACTTAAGTCATTTCATAATGCTCAATTCAGATTATTAAACATAATTTGGATGTAAGATACATTTATTTGATATTTAGCTCATTATTCCACATTTTAATTTTAAGCTATAATTTTCTTAAAATTTTATTTATGAAAAAAGCTTTTATTTATCAAAATGACTTAAACATAATAAAAATGAAAGAAAATGTGCATATAATCAAATAGAATTACTTAATTATACACCATTTACAAATTTTTAAATAAAAATTAAATAAAATGCTAGTTTTGGTTAGTAGCAAAATTAAATAAAAATATTTATCTTTTAAACATCAAGTAAGTCTTCCTAAATGCTCTAGAAAGCTCTATAATTGTTTAAAACAATTCAGATCAAATTAAAATTAAGCAGAAAAATCGTACTGAAAATCACTTGGAAAAAACTTAATTAGCATAGTTTCATTTAAAAATGACTGCATTTTTTTAGGAATTTTTCATTATATTTTATCAATATGAATCTCTTTTGCAAAATTGTTCAATCAACTATCAATGTACCAACAATTCTTCTGGAAATGCATATGAAAAAAGATGATTTAAATTCATATAAATTAAAAAGAGATTACTTGGAAGATTTCGCAGGAGACTGGAAGATGTTATAAAAAATTAGGAATATCCTAATTTTATGAGGAGGGTTGGTAGCTCTGAAAAATGTAGCTAACAGAAAAAGCAAGTTTTTAAAAATAATATAATTTGATTCATAATTTGCACTGCAAATTTGGAGTAAAAATAATATTTATGTTCAGATTTAGACACAATAATGCTGTTTGCAATTGCCTATGTAGTATTCTACATGTGATGGAAAATGTGTTTTTACTTAGTATATGCAATTGCAGATATGATAATTGCTTTATTTATTATTAAGTTTATGTAACATACAATATAAATACATTTCATGATCTTATACTTAGGATGGAATGATATAAAAGATGAAAAAAATATAAGGAAAAGAAAATATATGTTACAATTAAATAATTGTATTCCTGGCAAGATTTCCAAGCAAATCTAAGTATTTAAGAGTACAGAAACATTTATAAAAAGTAAGAAAACTTAAAACAACCAGACAAAGAAGCTCTTTTCTTTAACCCTACTTTCCAAAACACGTATGATCCTTCATTAACAAAAATGATCAACAAGTGGTAATATACAAGAACATTGAAACATCTGAAAAATAGTCATATGGGATAGTACTGATTTCTTTCATTAATTATAAAAGGACTGCAATCATTCAAATAAGAAAAAATAAAAATTAAATCAGTTTCATGAAAACTGAATGACCCAAAAAAATAGCAGAAGGAAAGGAAAACATTTCATCAAATAATAAACAAATTACATATTTGAATTCAGTGTCATTAAATCATACACCTAAAATATATTAGAATCAATTGAGTACCAAGAGAGAACTAACTGGTAGTATTTAAGTATAGATTCAAATAATTTGTTAAAACTTCATTCCTAAATTTTAAATTTAATATGCAAACTATTAAAACACATTTCTTCATTCATTTTTCTTGAAACATACTCAAAACATTCTCTAAAAATATGAAAGAAATCAAATCACCTTATAAGTCTAAAATTTATGTCAATCTTTAAAATGATTGGTAAATTTTAATTTGTAAAAATATTTTAAGTATTAAAATGTTAAAAAGCTTATTGTTCATAAACCTGTCTTAAGAGAAGATGCACAGACTTTAAAGATAATATTTCAGGATGATGACTGAACTTGTTTCAACATAGAATGAATAATAATAGCTAATGTTTCAGCCATTTCTCTTGCACTATATGGTTGACCTATTGGAGGAATATGTACAAAAGCAGTATTCTGATTTATCTTCAGAGAAGTATAAAATATAAATTCACACAAATACCTAAAATATAAAATAAAAGAAATTATATTGAAATACCTATTAAATATCAAATTAAATAATTATTCTGAATAATTCCTTGTAGGTATAATAAATACGAAAGAAATATTTTAAAAAACTAAAAATGTGTTAGTTAAAATATATAGCGCTGTCATATTTTTGTCTCAAAAAATAAAATATTGCAGTTTAAAAGGATTAAGAGAAAACCTGACAGAGGGGGGGGGGAGGGAATTATTAATTTGAAAACTAACTATAAATGCTTCAAGTTGACTTGTCAGTTGATGTGTGATAAAATACAGATTTTGTTCAAAACATATGATTTTGTTCTCAACCCCCTCCCAACCACAAATTCAGTATTGAAGCATGTGCTAAAAATTTTAAAATTATTTTTTAAATGACTTGTGCACATAATTTAATCGGCACTTAATCATCACTCTGTTAATGAGTACTTTAATCGGCACTCTGTTAAAAAGGCACCGCTTAGGGCCGAACTTAAGTGTTGGCACAGAATCCAGATTGTGGTAACCTTAATTATAAATACAGTTTTATGAAAAGGACTATTTATTCAATCTGGAAAAATTACACAAGATAAAGATAAATACAAAAATACAAAATAGATTTTACAAGATTAACTTCAAATTGCACAGAAGGAGGCACAAAACTATCAGTTTCATTTAACATTGCTGAAAACTCCTGCGATCACCACCACACGTGCTCGGTGTAATCGCCCTCTTGTGAGAGAAGCCAAATTTAGTTTAGTTAATAGTTGAAGAATGTATGCAGTGGACCTATGGCGCGCTCACTTGTAAAAAAAAAAAAAAAAAAAAAAAAAAAAAAAGTTCTATATCTCTCGTTCTAGAGGGCCGATTGACGAAATTCAAATAACGTTTTCAATGTTTCGAAAGCACAACATAGGATATGTATTAGATTTGTTTTAATATAGCTATTTTGACACAAAATCGGACTTTTTCTGAAATAACATACCAATTTTTTTCCATATTTCAATTCTACGACTCAAACTACACCAAATTACCAAGTTTTGTAAAAATCGCACAAGTAGTTTTAAAAAAAGGCCCCCCCTTAATGTTAATTGGGTTGTGGGTTATTCAATTATGGCAAAGCACACTAGGGCTATCTGCCTAAAGGAAGGAATGCCTTCGTGGAGGACTTTCTAAGGGAAACTGGCTCGTATACACGCTACACTTGGGGAAAACCACGAAAACGCCCATGTAGCCAGCCCGTTCGCGGGATTCGGACCGAACTACCAGTGTTCAGCGCCTTTACCACTCGGCTGCTGGTGGGCACCCCAATGTTAATTGAGTTTGGTATGTATGGTTAATCTCTTTTTTTTTATTAAGCTTATTTGATTCTTCCTTTCACATTTCGAAATTCAGGTTCGTTTCAAATAAAATTCTCCCATTTTTTATGATTTATTTTTAAAATTTGTATTTTTAAATAATTTTTATAAATTTTTCAAAAAAAATTTGAATTATAATCTATAAAAATTTTGCCATCATCTTAAAGTAGATGTATTTCTAAGCATACCTGCAAAAAATTACATTTTTTTATTCAAAATTTCCGAAGATATACGTGAATTTACATATTGGCGTGCTTTGAAATTTGGCATATTTGTTGAAAGCAATAAAACATCAAATGTGGTTTAAACACTTTGCTAAAATTATTTGGAAGTAGTAACGACGTGACTTTTTTTCTGCTCATGCACAATGTAAAAAGATAGGAACAAGGGGCCCTTTTTTTCCGCTTCGGCATAATGAAGGGAAAGGAGAATTGGTTGCCATATATTAAGAAGTTCGCCAAATGAATTATTCTTGGACAAATTTAAAAAATTTTGCCAGGATACATTTTTTAATTTCTCCGTAAATTTCCCACCAAATTTTAGAAAATTTAATATCTAGGCATAATTTGAGTTGTACAATCGGAATATAGAAAAAAATTGCTATGTTATTTCGGAAAAAGTCCAATTTTGTGTCAAAATACCTATATTAAGACAACGCTAAATATAAATCTAATATATATCTTAAGTCGTGCTTTCAAGACATGAAAAAGCCATTTGAATTTTGTCAATCGGCCCAGTAAAAAGGAAGATATAGAACTGTCTTTTTTTTTCCTTTTTTTTGTGCAATGTACATTATGTAAATAATTAAATATTTGTGTGGCCTAACTTACTTAGTTTTATTTCGAACCTGCACCATCATTTCTCGTATTTCACTGCTAGTATTTATACCAAACAACGTGAATTCAGTGAGCCAGGACTTTAGATAGTAGATACTAGCAGCCAGTGTCATGCTGTTATTTATTTTCCTGTTTTGCACATGGCATCCCATGTCAGGATAAAGAATGTTATATTTGTGATTAACTTGCAGGTGTTCATATCTGGTAAGCAATTGAAAATCCTGAAGAGAAAATTCTTGCATTGATATTTATTCATCCTGCTTATTCACAATAACATCATTCCACAACTATTCATAATGAAATATAAGCAAGTCACGACATTTGGCAACTGGTAGCTCATTGAAAAGTACCATATAGTATATGCAAAAAGTAAAAGATGTAATATTATGTTACAAAAAGTAAAAAAAAAAATCTCTTCTTTCTACTTTAAAATGCACGTTAAATTAAAACATAGAAAAGAAGGCTTCATCTACCAAGTCTTCTTGGCTTATTTCGTTTGGTCAACAAACAGATACAGATTCAAAGCTGTTAGTTCGTTTATACACTTTAAAATTTGTATTTACTGTAAATCTTCAACAGATAAAATAATTAGAAAAATATATATTATCATATTTTTAAGGGAAACATATTCCTTAAAAAACACTTTAACTATCATTAAAAATTATGCTAAGAGTGTCCACCCAGCTCGATGGCAATTTTTAAAAAGAAAAATATATACTTAATAATTAAACTTCACTTACAATCCAGCATCCTTAGATGCTTGAGCTTTAACACAAGCCCCAGAGCCATACACATCCTCCAAAACTTTCTCGACATCTATACTAGTATACAAAACATCAGGACCATCACAACAACATGTATATCCAGAGGGAACTTGACCTGTTATATCACAACCATAATAATCATTTCTGTGAGCTAATTTTTCAATTGTAAGGCAGTTCGCTTGATCTGACATACCACAATGAACCACAAGCTGAAAGTAACAATAGGAAAATTGTTAAAACTTGTATTTTTACACATACTAAAACACTACATATTGATTTTTCATTCATATTAGCTCCAACAACAAGTATATTTGAATTTTGTTACTTAAATTAGCTGTGAGTATGTAAATAACCAAAAAGAAAATAAATAAATTCTGTTAAAATAACAAATATATTCATAATCAAAGCTTAAAAAACAAAAAGTATATGCAAACCTTCTGCTGAGTGCACGATAGCATAGTCAAGGTTATGCACTATTTAATAATAACATAAATTATACGATTCCTTAAAACACAAATAAAAATTAATTTTAGAGCTATGCACTAAAGAATAATAGATCTTATCTTTTAAAGAGTGTGAGACATTCAATCATGCTCAAGTCCAAATTTTGTGATAGTGAATGGTCTAACAAACGTACTATTATACAGGTGGCACAGTTAAATTTAGGATGCATTTTAATTCAGCTTTAAATGTAAAGTATATTAAAAATGCTGGAAGATTTATATTCATTTAACAGTAACCTAGAAGCAGTATCAACATAATATATAGCAATGAATACATTAAAAGCAATTACAGATACATCCAAAAATCAAGTTAAAAAAAAAAAAAAAAAAAACACACACACAAGTAAAGTTTTATTTGCTTCAGCAAAAGTGACATTTAACTGTTTTACATCTCTTTGTTTCTTGAATCAGAGATTCTGTATTTACTCATCGTTCATTAAAATTTTCATTAACAATTTGGAAGTCTGAAATTTTAAATTAAGAACTACAGTTTATGCATTCTGTCATGCACAAGTTATTTTACAGCAATATTGCTTTATGAAAGTAACTGAGCAGGTTTATCTGAGCTAACGGAGACAATTGACGTAGCCGATCCATCTCCAAAACCAATTTTTTACTAAAGTTGAAAATCTGAACTGCAGTCATACCGGAGCTAGTCGACACATGGAACAGACTCCGTTAGCTCAGATAAATCCCAGTGGGAACGGCCCTCAACAAAATTTAGGACCCGTAGGGACTGAAACCAGGCTGCAAATTATCTAACACTGGCTACGAATAAATCTTAAGTATACGTGGAATATTATTTATTCAGAACTAAGACAAATCTTGAATCTAGTCTTAAGTTAAACCTTGTGCAGGAAATAGACATACATATAATAAATATCTAAACTAATATAGTGCGATAGCACCAAGATAAAATTTAGCAAAATATGTCTTTGTCGGTAATCTCGTGATTTCCGATAGTCTACAGCAGATGCTAACTAAGCTTTATGAAAATAGCCGTGAATTTAAGGGTTTTTTAGATAGCGCAAACGAATTTTACAGTTAATGGAACATCTGAAGAAATGGTCATACCATGAAGATAATATAACATATAGTTCTTCATTGCATTGACATCTCATTCATCAATCAACTAATGGATGGCCAAATATGTTATGTGGCTCTAAACCCCAAAAATATCACTACTGATAGTGTAGAGAGCGATACAGAGGTTCTTGATATTGAAAATTTTCAATTGATAAGTTAGTCAGAACTCTTCACACAGCAATTATAAGCACTGAATAAGAAATTTTGTCATCTAGCAAATAATAATAATAATAATAATAATAATAATAATAATAATAAAAAGATAGAGAGAGAGAGAGAAGAAGGAAGCAATTTAAACCTATACCCCCCCTTGAAAGAAATATTTAATCACGCACACAAACAAATATTGAGCTGTTTCTGTAAATTTTGATTTCCTTAAGGCTATGAATGCTTCATTACTTCATATTTTTAATTTTATAACATCTAACACGTCATCTTACTAAACTGTTGATCTATTATTCAGAAAAATCCCGAATTATCGATGCCCTGACGAGTTCAGGTCTTGGAATTTGTACTGTATTATTTTACGTAGTTGTAACACGTTACTTTTAAATAGCTGAATTTATTGATTAAAACTAATGCTAAATATCTTACATTTTGCAAAATTTCAACAGTCTGGAATACTGAAAATAAAAATCAGATGTTTACACCACATGACTTCTTTGTACGAAATATTAAATTATACACATTTTTTCCTGCCTTTCATTTAAACATATTTCCTCAAATTTCATTAGAGATATATTTCTCATTCAATTAATTCAGTTCTCGCTTCACAACAAGGCAAAAATACATAAAAACTCAAAATATCTATATTACAAACTGAAAACATAAAACACCAAATACAGTTAAAACAAAAACAAAACAAAACAAAGAAACCTTTTTACAATTAAAATTACAGTTTCCACGCAAAAACAAGCAATTCGTCCAGCAGGCAGATTTTTCGGTGCAAAAAAACTTTACTTAATCTGTTATGGATGCTATGCTGAGTCAATATGTGAGATAATTTAATAACTTAAATGATAATTCCAGAATGGATTAAGTATAACTTAATTCACAATACAAAAGAAGACATTACTTCGTTGTTGTGAAGCTTGTTCTCTAGATTAGCAAACAAATCCACTATTCTGCTAAATTTCAAATGTAAACAAATATAGCTGCAATGGTAAAAAAATTAGGCTTAGCCGCCTTTAAACAACTTTTAAATTGTTGATAAAATGAAGGTTAACTAAAGGCATAAAAACCTTAACTGGAAGATAAGAACAACATAATTCAATCTTTTTTAAAGCAAAAAACACACAATTTACAAACATATAAGAATAAAGAAACTGAGCTCACTATGCCGAGTAACTGAGTGCATATGTTTGTTTATATACCATAAAAGCATCTAAATTAATTATTAAATTGGCATAAAAGCAAGGCAGTTCTGTAATATAATAATTGCAACCGTGTATTAGAAATTTAAAACAATATCAGTAATCCAATTAAAGAAATAATTCATAGTAGTACATTCTACAACGCATTCTCAGCGGTTTTCTCGAGAATGTTCTCGAAGGTAGGTAAAAGCTATATATACCCTGCCTGTACACGTAGTAGGAGTATCTTGAATTCAGTAACATGACTAGTGTTTTGAGTTCAAAGATTAGCTTGAGAGCGATCAACCGGGTACTTTAGTGCTTTGCCGTGAAGTTGCCTTTACCGTTTTAGCCTGAAGGTTGTGTTGCTGATTATTTCAGTGTGTTTATCATAGTTTTTAGATGATTTTAAATGTGATTTTGAAACTTTCCTGTGTAATACTGCTGAATAAATTGTGTTTTCATTCTTTCCAGTGTTACCATTACAATTAGTCCAAATCTACGAACCCGTAAAACGCAATAATATCCTTTTGCAAAGTGAATCCTTTTCTTACGATTTTTTTATTTTAATTTTATATGGTTTTTCTCTCGCATTTCTGGCTTTATATCCGAATTTATGCAGATACTGCATACGAATTTATGCAGATTTCATACTGTTCGAGGTGTAACACAAGCACCTGAACAAGATGCAAGGTCATTATAGATAGTTCTACACTATTCGGGTTTCTTTCTTTATATTGACCTTTCAATCATTCTGCCTTCTCTTGCTGTAAGAACTTTTGCCCGTAACGTCCTCGATACTCCCACTTGATTTATATTATTATATACAGTTGATTTATATTTACTTACCACATTATAAACAATTAGAAATTTAATCTTAAAATTTTTCTATTTCACGGTACGTGAAGCCATTATTTCTTAAATTTACAATTCCATCAATAAACACAACTCATTCTGCTTTCCATACATTTTAGAATAAATTTATAATAAAAAAAAAAAAAAAAAAAGGAAAGTGGAGCTGATAAAACTAATAGAACGTTCTAAAACAAAACTGCATTTTTTTTCTTTCACTTTTAATACCTGAAGTCAAGTTTCCATCTTTTTCGTTAACTGTTCAAATATTTTTTTTTTCCCTTGGTAATTTGCATAATTTTTTTTTTTTTTTTTTTGTCATTGTGACAAGATTACATGACAGTTATTTTTTATTTATTATATAAGCAAATTTGAACTAGTTGCTATGCAAAAATTTAATTTACACTACTTTCAGTAAAATTATTGCATAAATTTGTGTTGTTCAAATACTTGTTTCCTCTACAGCATATACCTACATAAAGATTCTTCATCACTTAACTTAAAAATAACATAGGTTGAGAGACAGATATGTTAAATAATGAAGAATCTGTATTGTTACGAATTTTGTACATAGGCAGATTATTTTAGCGCAATTATATGTGGAATTGTAGTAGCTTTTTTTTTTAGCCCGAAGGGCATTAGCACAGAAGGGCTATTAATTTCATTTTGGCATTTTGTGGTGTTTCACTTTTCAAATTGTTGCCACCAAATATTATCGCAATATATTATAGTTAAAGACATTAAATAATGAAGAATCTGCATAAATGTATGCATGTTTTTCGTTTGTGAGAAAACAACGGTACCTAGAGCCATCCAATTTTGAATAATGTATTTCTCCACCCGAATATGGACAACTGGAAGTCCAAATTTGGAATTTGTTTTATTATCTATTTCATATTTTTTAAGCATTTATGAGTTTTTGATCAAGAAACTCAACAATCTCAAAGCGAGCAACGGCAATACTGCACAAAAAAAAAAAAAAAAAAAAAAAAAAAACTCCAGCGAACAAGACTGTGTATCAGAAATTCTAAAGATATGCTCTTTTTAAATATTTTGTGATATTGCTGTTGAATTGAATTTTGTACTCTAAGTGAGAGGAACATGATATTTAATAAATAAAAAAAAACATGCAAAACATGAAAAAAAAACCCTTTGCATAAAATCTAAAAACTTTGAGGGCTTTTTTTTTGAGTGTGTGTGTAATGTAATATGAAAATCTAAAGAAGTGAAGCTATGAAAGTAAACATAGTATAAGGGCAAGTCTACTTAACATTGACTAGATGTCTATCTCACTAATTTGGCACAAAATCCCCAAACTTAGTGACCATTTGGATACATTTTGGCCCGGTCCCTGTATCACGGTAATAGGTATTGGAATTGAATAACTGTAATTGATTTTAGATGCTAACTGTACTT